GCTACTGCCCCCGCGACTCCGGATAAACGGATGAAAATGAGTGGATGGATGGATTCACCCATCTTGGGTCGTGACGGGAATGCTTTGTTGATTTAGCGCCCAGGAAAGAGCAGAGCACATGTTGACTAGTAGAAGTTAACCGTTAGCATTAGCAACTCCACAACATGGCAGAACTCCTTCAGGCTTGTGTTATTTATGGAAATAAAACATCCATGTTGCAGAGCAAACTGAGTTTTGTTGCTATTTGCCATCAAAGGTGAGATGTCTGAATGTCACAAAAAAGTAAATCCTGCCGTCTTCAGCTCAACCTGGTTGTGGCTCACTTCTAGTTTCTGAAACGAGAGCGTGAGAGCTTTTTTTCCTCAGAGATTGACTCACAAGACATTAATTTATACTAGAGACCACTGCAAATGTGTTGGAAGAAAAAAATGATCTTGGTCTTTAATGCAAAAATGTGACTTAGTACAGGTCTCCTTTTCCACAGTGGTCTAAAGATAATCAATGGAGGTCTTGATGTAAATCCTTTTTGACCCATTATTTTTGATTCAATAAATTAACATATATAAGTGACTTCAATTTATGTCATATATAACTTTTTTCCAACTATCACATCGAAGCCTGATCACAGTCTAATAAAATAATGAAACCTGATGAAGAGGAAAACTTTCTTAGTGCTTTTAGATTTTGTAAGCTATAATTATATATATCCTATATAACATGGAACAATCTTCCACTCATAAACAATTTAACGAAACCCATTGAGCACAACGTAAAACTGAAACCAGTGTCAGACTTTGAACTGTTGAACACAGCTTGGAATAATTCATGCATTTATGCATTTAAAGAGCAAGTCAACCCCTACCAGAGTCTAACTCCACTCCCACTTCATGTTTGAAAAATGCAACACATGCTGTTGCCTGGCAGACCGAGAGGGCGGAGCCGCTAACAAATACACACACACTCAGGCTCACGACAGCATTGTGACATCATAATGTACCAGTTTACATCATAGCATACTTCTTAGCCAATAGCGGTGGCAGATTTAAATTAAAATACAGTGCAGAGTTTTTACCTGACAACGGCACAACACTGCCAGTTTTAGGCAGAATATTTAAATTTTAACTAAGATGCACTGAAGTGCCAAATTATTGACGACACGTGTCTGCAGCACGATTAGACACTCGTTTATTTAGTTTATCAGCAAAAAAAGTTTATTTGGGGGTGACTTGCTCTTTAAACACTTTCTGTGTTTAAAAAGAACCAAGAAATGCAAGTTGAAAATATACACAGAATGAATGTACAGAAGGTGTTGGAATAGTTCAGTTTTCAATCATTTACCTCTGCTGTAACCAACTGTAGCCAGTTTAAATGATCACAAGTTATTTTTAAGTAGCAATAGATTTGTTTAATTTTTGCACAAACTCGCAGTTTTTCCATTTGTTTGAGGAAGATTTGTATGCAGCAATTTCACATTTATCAACCCTACTGACAGTTCAGCTGCAGTCAGAAAAATGACCAACTTATAATAGTTTACTTTAGAGAAACATGGTTATATGTTCATGTTCAATCTCAGAGACAATATGTCACACTTTACAGTTATTCCTTGCTAGCCCTTTACTGATTTAAATGGTTCATGTTTTTTTTTTGGTAGCCAAAAATGCAGGGCATCATGTTTATATCATGCAATTATTTAATGTTCTCGATGCCCTGGTTGTTATCTAAAGGTGGAAAAATCAGGTTTTATTTCCTTGTTTTTGTCAAGTTTGCACACAAGAGACAGAAAGACTCAGAAGAAATCTGTGTTGCTATGGAGTTCCTGGCAGCCTTTGTGTAGGCTTGGCTGTAAACATTTCAGGGTTGTTGTACATGGTTTGCTGCAGGTGCCAGCCCCTTCTCTGCTTTTTTCCTTCACTGCTTGAAATAATCTCCCAAGGCAAGTTGAGCCCAAGCCTGTCCTTCGCAATCACATCCTGCTAAGTTCAGACGGGTCCGTTGTGTGTAACAGTGCGGCTACAATTTTTCATACTCCGTTACGCTACTGTTTTGATTCTGCTTGACAGGATTCCACATGACAATACCTCTAACCTGTTGAGCAAGGTGTAGAGTAGAAAAGTGTCAGCTCAATAAACAAGACAGAGAGAGAGAGGAGTGGGTGGAGTGGAGGAGGGGGTGCAGAGAGGAGTTAAATCACTCACTCAGCAAAAAACCCAGTGCCACGCCCCAGGTGCCAGGGCTAGTAGGAGCAAGCAGCAGGAATTTGAGGGAAATGAATGGGAATGTAAGTCCTGCCATTCACATGGTGAGTGCCTCCTTTTTTTACTTACAGCCTATATTAAATATTATATAAACACATCACAAGGCATTTTGTGGGTGTGAAAAAACAATATTATTAGTCAATTATGCAGAATCTCTTACCTTGGGATCTTTTTTTGTCATTTTTTATGAGATTTGGTGATACAAAAACAGTTAAATTGACCTCACTTGATGCTTATTAAGCTGTAATTATAACATGAACAGACCTGATCAAACCTAACAGAAAGGTATTTGTTTAAAAGATTTTTGGTCAGATTTTGTTCTGTTATTTTGATCATCACATATGGGGGGAAGAAAAAATGAATGGTTTTTCTGTGTGGTCAGTGGTCTGCACAACACGACGAGTCTTGGAGTAAAATCAAAACATAAAAGTGGTGTGTGAGTCAATATGATTCATTTTTCCAGCTAAATAGGGAGGCTGAGTTTTTCTCATTTATTTTTGTTTGCTCCTGTGTGAAAGAGTCAGTGTTGTCACGTGTAAATAAAGAACTGCACCGTGTCTGCTTCAGAGGAAACAAACAAACTTTTTTTCTTTTCTGTCCCCAAAAACGTCATTGGCACTGTGGAAACACTTTGAACAGGCCAGCCAGTGATTCGAGACCACTGCTCTGAGAAGAGAGTGCATATTTTCTGTCTATGCGGTTGGCGATCTGTTTACTGGAAGGGCTTTTCACTTGGAGCACATGTTGCTGCATGTGTAGCCACTCGGTAAACCCTTAAAAGACTGTAGATTTACAATGTACATGCAGATGTTGATGAGATGTTTTTGTGGGCATGGTGTTGGATGTTTTTGTGCATATGTATGCATGCATATGTGCACTTTTTTGTTTGCAGACCATGGCAAATAAGCAGCACACTAGATCCCTCTGTGTGGGGGTCAGAGTGAGTTAAAGCAGTTTGCTGGTTCTAGTTTTAAATCTGTTTATAGGATCCAGGGTGTCCTGCTCTTCTAAAAGCAAGCTATAAGAGACTGCAGGGCTTTGGAAATGAAGAGGCATGGGTTGGTTTCAGTAAAATCCAGGTTTGTCTATGGTGCACAGCGAGTGGTAACAATGGGAGGGTTAAGTATCTGATATATACACACCAACCCCTGGGACTCAGCTGCCAGTAATTAAAGCTGGCAGAGAAAAGAGTCAGGCGACTGTAATGGCCGATCTTAGTTCATACCATAATATTTGGAAGATGAATCAGTCTGCTAGTAAAAGTGTTGTCATGCTACTGTCATGCTACCCCCCCCCCCCCCAATCCTTGTGACACATTGGCTCCTTAGGCAGAGAAGACAGGGAAGACCTTGTTTGTAAATCCTCCTTCTTTCGATTGTAAGATCTTTTAATTTGAAGTTTTGTCAACATTTTTTATTCCGTCTTTGCTTGTTCACAAGTTTTATTCAGAGCCATGTTTGACTATATTTGTTTAGGAAATATGCTATAAGAAAACATGCACAGATATAATTTGAAATGCCCATATGGGATATATTTTTTGTTTACAAAAACTTCATATAAACACATTTTTTTTTTCTTACAGGGCTATGCAATTTGACAAAAAGCATGTCTCCTCAAATAAGTTATCACTATGCCTTAACAGATTCATCCTTCTGAGATAGGCGCTTTAATTTGGTGCTTTTTGGGAAAAACTTTGAGGAATAAAAAAGACCTTATATATTTAGAAATAAATCTTGATTCTTTCTGAAACTGAAAAAGAATATAAAAAATGAAATAAAGCTAAGTTCCTGAATAATTAAAAGGATCTAAATTGAACAAAATAGAATTTTTTTAATGCTATAATTTTTATTCTCTAAGAGGATATAACACAAAATAATAACTTTTCTGTACATTTATGAATATTTTAGGTTATCACCACACTTTACATAGTATTTCTTATTTTATAAATTTTAATTAACAAAGTGAAGAGTACTCATTCATATATTATTTTTGCCTTTTTAGAATCTTGCTTAAACAATTGCAACTTTATTGCAGAGGAACATGCAGCTACTTGCATACGTTCTGCTGACGTTGGTTGAAAGGGAGACCAACCTACGGTGGTTCTAGTCAAATAAACTTACAAAAAGGTTATTCTCCTAAAAAGTAGATATTGGATTTCCCTATATTGCAGTGGACCTCTTCTCCTGAGCTCATCAAAACGTGTCACCTCCCCTTTTTCCCGTCTCTCCATCACATCACACAGGAGCAAAAGTGGCCTAAATACAGTTCGTCCTTTATTTTATATGTAATTGTAAAACGTGAAAAACGGACAGTTTGGAAAACTTAAGATTTATTAGATTACAAATTCCACGCCAGGAACGTGCTCCTCTAGTCCTTCTGTTTGGAGACTTTCTGTCTTGTCTTTACTGGCTATGTCACTGGCTTGCAGCATTGCCTGTTCCCAATTAAGTAACATTTGAGAAGGTAGGCACATTTTTAGCTATTTATTTCACTGATTAAACCAACCAGATGATTTATTGTTGAGCAAGGTGTTTCTCAGTTTTGAAGAGTTTAACAAACTTATCTTTCTCATACCCCAAACAGTCAAAATATGGTGATATAATAAAAATAAATTTTAGATCTATTCAAATGCTGCAATTATTGCAGCATTAGTTTCACATGCTAAGTATGAACATCATTTTTGCACATCTATTGAATACCAAACTAGGTGCGTATACATTTTTTTTAGACACACAAACTCTTAGATCACCTCAAGTGATGTCACTTGACATTTACACATTTCAAACTAAGGAAAAAGTCCCAGGGTGTGTCTCTGGAGTGACAAGACGTAGATGGGCTGACCTTTGTAGACCCTTTCTTGTTTAAGGCTTGAACGTCAAAACACTGACAGCCTCTAACACACTTAAATCTCTTAACTGTTTTGTGGTACAGGTGATGTGGGTGCCAAACTGAAGTGTAAGACAAATGCCCACTGTGTTAGTAATGCCTGTGTGTAGTAGTGTACTGTCTCCATGTAGTATGAGTAAAAGATAATTTATCTGGCTATGCGGAGTTTGTTTTTATACCCTTATTTCCCATGAAGTGAGAACTTTAGGTAGGCCTGGACCAGGGCCGGAGTGGGACACATTTTCAGCCCTGGAGTTTCAGACCCCAGACCGGCCCACTTAACGAATTATTATTAAAATCATGTTAGAACTTTATATGTATAGTCTACAAAAGCACACTACTCGGTAAAGCCTTGTAATTCAGTGCAAGAAAGAGTTGCTTTACAATGTAGGTTTATTTGAACATCAGTGCACATCTCCAACATTGTTCTTTACAACACATTCTCTAACAATATAACAATCTACCTTCTGTTCAAACTGCTGTTCTGAGATTTTCAAACCTTTAAAATGAAATGACTCAGCACTCCCTTTCACACTTTTTCCAGTTTCCCTAGACTCACCTGCACACAATTAAAATAATCATCTGTAAAGCTTTAACACATTTGATATGGAAAACACATTTTTTGTAACCAATTAAAATATTTTCTATGGCAAAATATGCAGGCTTATTTCATTTTACTTTCATTCTAATAGCGATCTGTTGTGGGCTTTGTGCATTTACTAATAAAAATACAACAGGTCACTACTATTATTTGGACATTAAAATTATTATAATGAAACTGATGTTTGCACATGAGTTGGCTCACCTTCTATCCCAACAGGAGCAATACCCTCACTGCTGGCTCCTGGCTCTTCTTCTGACACTACATTGTGTGAAAATGGTCACAATTCAGCATTAATTTTCCTTTTTTACATGCTTTCTGATCAATGCTGAATCATCTAGCATTTTAGGACACTTTCATATAGAGCCAGGCTACACAAATAGCCTTCATCATATTAATTTTAATAATATTCAGTTCACTGACTCAGTAAGTAATCCTACCTGTACATGTCCGCTCTGGAACGGTGAGTTTCTGCCTGGTGCTTATTAGGCCTACTGGATCTTGTGTTTGACCCTGAGGGGCTACAAGACAGTTTGGTGGCTTCAGTCACATCATACTGTTAACTATATTACATAACGTTATGTCATGACGCCATATAATTCATTATTGATGCTTAATTAACTTGAATGGTGATTTGCAGCCGGTAAAGTTTAACATCTTGACTTGCCTTACCCGTTTTATCTTCATTTGAAGTTAAAGACCGCAAGCTTGTTTGAGAAAAAAAGGTGCTCATTTTTGCACATTTAGCTGCATCTGTTTCCAGCGCTTTCCTCTTTTTAATTCTTGCCTTCTCCGCGCCACCCTTGCTCTCTCTACTTTCCATCTTTCCGTCAACTGCGTGGTCACGTGGTGCGCACAGGCGCATACGGGGGAAAAAGAAAAAAAAAAACGAGCTGCAGCCTGCAGGTAGAGACAGCCGGGAGGAGCGTATGAGATCAGCCCGGCGGCCTCAGTGCCATGACTGAACACCGGCACCAAAAAATAAAAATAAAATGATAAAAAACAAAAACGAGAGCACCGGCCCATGCGGCCCAAACATCGCGCGGCCCACCGGGAATTCTCCAGACCCTCCCGATTAGCCACTCCGGGCCTGGCCTGGACTATATAGAAAATAGTATATCAATACTTTTTTCCCATATTGATCGATATATAAAATTATTGAAAATAATTTTTTTTAATTATAGAATATATATTTACGTGCATCCCTGGCCATATTATTTTTGGTATTTTTACTTTTTCTCCGCCTCTTCCCGCTGCAACATCTTGCTGCCTCGTGCTCTGTTTTGGTTTTAGAGGGGAGGGCCTGGTGACATAGCGTGCCCTAATCTGGTTTTGATTGGTTAGGAGTAAGTAGTGAGTCTAGTTTGCTGCTACCTGATAGGTTATGATTAAACAAAAGGAAACTTTTTTTTTTATCAAAGTTTTATCAACCCATTTTTTTCCTGTCGCACCACATGTCTGTCGATAGACATATTGAACTATTGAATTGCCGTCCAGCCCAGCTTTTAAAGAGCAAGTCAACCCCTACAAGAAATTCACTCCACTCCCACTTCATGTTTGAAAAATGCAACAAATTATGTTGCCTGGCAGACCGAGAGGGCGGAGCCACTAACAAATACACACAAACAGGCTCACAACGGCATTGTGACATAATGTACCGGGCCGGCTATTGCCACAGTGTACCTCTTAGCCAATAGCGGTGGCAAATTTAAATTCAAATGTAGTGCAGAGTTTTTACCTGACGATGGCGCAGCACTGACAGTTTTAGGCAGAATATTAAAATTTTAACAAAGATGCACTAAAGTGCCAAATTGTTGACTACACGTGTCTATTGCACGATTAGACACTCATTTATATTTTATCAGCAAAAAAAGTTAATTTGGGGGTGACTTGCGCTTTAAGTGTTACAGAGAAGTGTGATATCAGTAGTAGAATGTTCTTTTTGGATTACGGCAACAATCTGTTGTTGGGATTCTTTCCAGTATTTATTTAAACTATCTTGAGTTCAGTTTGAAATTCTGAACCAAACTGTTATTGTGAAAAAACCTGAGTCATCCCAACACCTGCTTTGTTTCTTTAACTAATGCAGATAGAGGTGTAACTTGACTGTGCATGTTTGCATTCTGTTTTAAACCTTGGCACCAATACTGAAGGAGAAACCTGTTCGACATCCAAACGATGATAGGGCACATTGTTCTCACAGATATTACCCTATTATCCTGGTGATTTCTTTGCCCTTTATCAAATTATCTTAACTGCCGAGTCATGGGAATGTTTTTAAGGTTACATAATAACTTTCTATTATTATTGTATAACTATTGATAACAAATTCAACATAAAGCAACCTTGTTTTCTGTCATTTTTATGTTTCCTGTCAGCGACTTAGTGATCCAGCAGGCACAGTGGAATCATTATTCTTCATATTCCCAAAAGGAAAAGAAAAAAGAAAAAAACTGTTGAATTCCTGTTAATAAGTCATCTTAATACTTTTATTGGTCCCCCTACTCTCACAACAGAGTCAGTGTATGAGCTTCTTCCCAGAGAGCTGCAGGCCTTCACTCCATCAGAGTCCAGAAGTCATGAGTCAAAAGAGTGATGGAGAGGCAGGGCCTCTCCCCTCAGCTCTTCTAGCATCAGGTAGGATCATGCGTCTCCCATCCTTATTTCCCCTCTGCAAGCAGGACCGATCCTGCCCCAGTCAAAAGAAAAAAATACACTACTCCTTCAACAGTCTATACCTTTAGGTGAACATAAACACTTGCATTTAGCAAGAAAACCTGTCTAACAAGCAGACTGCTGCTCTTTGATTTTCTAAATGTGAGGAGAAAAAACCGAAAAGCTCATGAAGGGTGTTCGTGTTGGCGAATCGAGTCAACTAAACATGTCTGCTGCCTGTTCTGGCCTGCTATGATTTTGTTAGTGAGTCTACAGTCACTTGCCACACAAACAGCTGGATTGTGCAGCATGTTTACTCAGTGCTTTGGCCTGTTTGTTGAGCATCATTATTAAAGTGTTTTTAAAAAATTAAGGTCTTGTTTTTAGTTTTTTAATTTTATTTAACCAGATGAGTCTTGTAAACCATGTTGATGAAATGTGTTTTAGCACATATAGCATAGCAGAAAGGTCTGCCTCTGCTTTCAGATTTTTTCATGATTGAAGCTGCTATAGCGAATCGCCAGAGCAAGCTAGGTTTTGAGCGCAAACCCTGTCATGGAACATTCACGCCTCCCCTCTGGTACCTTCCCTGAGACGTTTCTGTCGGAACCGAAAACCCGTGTCAGCATGCCGGTGCAGCCTTTGCTTTTAGGCCCAAGGAGAAGTGGGTGTCACAACTGACACCACATTATAATGATTTTTCTTAATCAGAATGTTTTTTTGCTATTCAGCTTTTATTGCTCATTTGCTGTCTCACTTTTATACTCCAGGAAGTTCCTTCTGAAGCAGGGAGTGTCTGCATTAAAATGGTCTGCAGTTCTCTGCTTCATAGGTCTGACGCTTGGTTTGTTATGTCTCTGTGGACTCTTCAGTCACTAAACTTACATTTAAAGCCCCCAAAAATAAAGAAAGAAATTAAAACTCCAATAATTGGCATACCACATATTATTTGACCAATAATTAAATGCTAAATAAAGTGAGAAAGTAAGAAAATAAGAAAATCTAAAAGAAAAATCTGTTTTTCCAAGTTAGTTAAAAACACAACGGTAAGTAACTTTCAAATTACTTTCCATCTTGAATTTAGCCTTTATTATAATTAAGATACTCCACATAAACAAGCTAACACATGTTCAGCACCCGACATGTAAACTAGAGAGAATGAGGGGGGTGTTTTGATAAACAAAAAGCAAAAAAGACAACTAAACTTAACAAATATGAACATTTTTACTGCTCACATGAGGTGCTACCCTGCCCTGGTTGAGATGCCTATATTCACTTTCTAATTATTTATACCGTAGATGCCATGTCCACTTCTCTGACCAAGGAAGGGCCTCGCAGTGCTTTTTCCACTTCTACCAGCACTAGCATGCATTCCAGCACTTTACCCAGTGACCAGAACCCATTTGACAACAGAAATGTTGATCCAGAGGACATCAGGAGCAGCAGAGTTGTACCAGAGATGGCTGGAGCGGACGGTGGGAATGGGAAAAGCAGCAACAGTGGAAATGGCAAAGGCAGCGGAGAGGTTGGAGGTGGAAGGGTTGCTACATCCCTGGACAGCCAACTGCATCATCAGCTGACCCCATCCAAGCGCCACACCATTCTGAATATCTCCCCGCCTCCACATGACCTGTTTGATGACAGCCACATGTCCTGCCAAGATCCGGCGCCCCAGGACTTAGAGCAAAGCAACAGCATCTGGATGGAAGACTCTGTGTCCAACTTCAGCAATATGAGCACTTCCTCTTACAACGACAACACAGAGGTGCCACGAAAGTCCCGCAAGCGTACCCCTCGCCAAAGACCGGGCCCTAAGTCTGTGTCTTCTGCAAAGACCAACATGGACGTGTTTGATGCAGACAGCGCCAAAGGTCCACACTTTGTTCTGTCACAACTCGGCCCCGACAGCAAAGCTGGAATGAAAGGAAGGTTTGTAGTTCAAAATACTTTCACTCAGCTTTTCCTTTTCTTTTTTTTATCTTCCATTTACATCATCCTAAGCATTCATTTGACACTGCAGATATTATCTAGAAGCACACTGACCCTCACCAACAGATGGAAATCTTTAACATACTACTTTGGTTCCATATTTCCCACATTAGACTGAAGGAGAGCGGCTAGATCAGAGGAGGGGAGGAGCAGGATTCTGAAGTACAAACAATGGTCAGCCACAGTGAATCACAGAGCCTCTCTCAAAGACCTAGGATAAGCAGAGCAGATTAAATAAACAGATAACTCTGAACGTTTTAAGAGCTGGGGTTAGAAAATGCTTGGCTGATGGAGGGCCTCTTAAATCTACATTGCTCAGAGCACCATGGCAACAGCAGAAAGGTTTTTCTAGCAACAGTTAGAATAAAAGCAAAACCCCTGATAAATTTCACTCGCTTTCACAAACACACTCAAATGACCTAAACTGTGAAATATTGCCACCTAGATTAGATCTACAACAGTAGGGATTGAAATTTTAGAAGTAACTTTATTACTGTGGTTTGTTACAGCTCTGATGATACTAAGACAACTAATCAGAAAAGAGGAACCCTTTCAATGCACTTCCCACCGAAATGTGAGGGGAAGGAGCTTAAAATCCTCATCCAGCCCGAGACCCAGCACCGTGCTCGCTACTTAACTGAAGGTAGCAGGGGATCTGTAAAGGATCGCACCCAGCAGGGCTTTCCTACTATAAAGGTACAGTTTAAAACCATGACTCTGTTTCTATGATTGCGATAATGGAGGTGGAACGATTTAGGTCTTGTTTGAATTCAAGCTAACAACTGCAGACATTGCTATGTGTTTTCAAAAATGTGTGTACAACTAGAGTTGTAGAAACAGTGTGTTGTTAGACTGAAGTTGATGATGTGTCTCATTAGAGACCTGCACTCTTGGTGAGGAGATTCATTTTCTTGTGTCTCATTATGCCTTCCCTTTGTGCAGCTGGAAGGCGTAAACGAGCACGTGGTCTTGCAGGTGTTTGTGGGCAACGATGCTGGACGTGTGAAGCCTCATGGATTTTATCAAGCTTGCAGAGTAACTGGTCGCAACACCACAGCCTGCAAGGAGGTTAACATTGACGGCACAACTGTCATCGAGGTCCCCCTTGAGCCAAGCACCAACATGACACTATCGTATGTGCATTTTCCTCATATTTTCTTAGCCTTATTTTTGCATTTTAAAGCCCAAATGTTGGTTTTTGTGTTCTAATGCCAAACCTGTTGTCTATAAGAGCAATCTCCTTATGGTTATGAGCGAGTTGATGGGTGTTCTAATAAATTTTCTTTCCCTTGGGGGGATATAACTTACTGTAGTGACATGCTGAGGTATTACATCTTGTAAAGAGCTGCTAATTTAGTGAATACCTTAAAGAATGTTATTGAAACTGGAAGCTGAAACGAGTTTAGGCACATCTGAGTCGACATCCTCTCTTTATTCAGGGTTGACTGCGTTGGGATCTTGAAGCTTCGTAACGCTGACGTTGAGGCTCGCATTGGTGTGGCGGGGTCAAAGAAGAAAAGCACGCGTGCTCGACTGGTGTTTCGAGTCAACATTCCTCGTTCAGATGGATCAGTGCTCACACTACAGACTCCCTCTTCTCCAATTTTGTGTAGTAAGTCATGTCTCGGCATTCATCACTGCAAAAATGGTTATTTGTGAAGCAGAAGTAAATGGGGAAAATTTACAATAAATCTGTAGATTGTTGAGATTATGCTACACTGTAAAGACAATTACTCATATAGAAAACTATCAAAGCAGCAGAGCAAAGGTTCAACAGCTGAATGAGGGAAAACAGATAGATGACCTAAAACCCACTTAGTCAATGATTAACAATAAACCTTTTCTGGTCCCATTTCTCAATTATCCAGTGGTCGGTAGAGAGTTTTCTTTTGATGTCCATGTTGAGAGGCAGTGTAGAAACATGCCATCAGATTTGCTTCTTTAATAATTCTTACAATATGAGGGTGGGGCTGATTTCACAAACAGGAAGGACGCTCAGAGCGCTAAGAAAGAACCTGAGCTTGTGGATTTAGGAGCACAGCTTTGAGAGTAGCTGAGGGGAAAGGAAGGGAAATGACAAAACAATGGAGGTGTGTAGACATCTGCTGATGTTTACATAGAGTCGGCATGCAAAACAGGGAAATGTCTTTCCACAAAACAAACCAAAATAATTATTCACCCCCAGGTTTGTGTCTGCAAATGTGTGAGCATGTGTGTGTGCATGTGTTTGGGATGCACGTTTTCCAAAATTTCTTTAACCGTTTATCAATGCCCCTTAAAGGTTAATGGCTGGTTTACAGGAAACCAACCAGTTTTTTGTTGCATTTTTCATTACTTTAAGGTCCTTTAACCACTTAAACCCCTGACACAAGATCTATCCAAATATTATAAATGTTTATTTTACTAGATTATAGATATTGATACTAATAGTTAAAGTACATTCTATCTGGTTTTTCTTTTATTTGGTATAGTATTATATTTGTTAGGTTCCTTACTTAAACCTAAAACATGAACTCGAAAATAAACGGACAGACCAATCTCCTGAGTCACACTAAATTTGATCATGATTAATTGAATAAAAGTTTGATTTACTGAGTTCTGTAAATAAAAAGTTATAAAGCTAAAATGCTATAAAGGCTAAATTCTAGCTGCTAGCAGTATAACTTTATATTTATGTGGTGTTTTCGAAGCCTTAGCTAAAGCTAAAATCAAGATATTGTTTAATTGTTTTGTATCTTTTCCTGTTTCTCAGCAACGTTCCACCTTCAGTCAAAAAGGCCTCTTCAGTTCTGATGACCATTTGAGTTTTGTGTTTAAAATTTGTTAGAGAAACGTAACTTTTTCCACAGACACATGGCACAAAGCAGGAGAGTTAGTTCCCTCGGGTCAAGATTCAGCTGTCTGCTTACATCTCAAGGACAATGGACAACGATTTGAGGGCTGTAACATACACATTTTCTAGACTGAGAAGACAAAGCGTTTGTAAGAGGAGAGATAGAAGTTATGAGTTAAAGGGGAAAAACAAACACTGAACAGAGGAGGTGGCCTCGGGTTTCATCTATTTTAATACCTACAATACAGCTTTAGCTCCTCCTCACAGGTAGTCTCATCTCCACTCAGACTTTGAAGCATGTGCCTAAAATGTCTGGCATAAACAAACCACAAGTGTCAACGAGCCAAAGACTCTCAGCAGGGACAAGTGGGTTCGTGATTATTCCAGCAATAACTTAAACAACCTAAAACACTCACTCATCCACTGGATTAACGAGACATCTAACTGGAAACCAAACAAGTACCCCATCGTGGACAGTTTGAGTTTTAAGTCACACCCCCTCTAAGATTTAGATAAAAGCCTAGTTATACAGTAGATGAAAAGTCTTTAAAGGTGTAGAACACACAAAAAAAACATTTTAATGATTATTTCTGATTGTAATCTGTCACTACTGTGTTTTTCATTTAGACTGAACTTGAAAATAGTCTCCTACACCTATCTCCAGCATTAGCGTCTGATAGAAAATAGATGATGAAACTTTAGTGTTTGAAAAGCTTGACAGATCTACATCATGCTGTAACTTAACATTCATGGATTCACCCACTGTGGCTCATGACAGGGAGAGCTGTTGTTGGTTTAGCGTCCAGCAAACAGCAGAGAACATCTCAGCTAGTAGACGCTAACTGTAAGCATTAGCAACTCTACCACACAGCAGAACTCCTCCAGGCTTGTGTTACTTGTAGAAATGAAACATCAGCATTTCAAAGCAAACAGTCAGTGGTAGTCGCATTACCGTTAACCAACCTGAGGCGAAATGTCCTAATATCAAGAAATAAGAGTCCAAATCGTGCCATCTGAAATTCTCTTTGATGTGGCAATTTTCTAGTTCCTTAAACTGGTGCACAGAGCTTTTTGTCCCCAGAGTATGACTTACAAGGCATTCATTGCTACTAGAGATCACTCCAAATGTATTGATTAAAAGAGTGTTCAACACCTTTAAGAAACAAAAAAAGAAGTATGGTTTCTTTTTTTTTCCAGATCCTTATCGCAATTGCATTTCTATTACTGAGATTAGACGACAAACGTTTGAACATAAAACGTGGTACCATTAATTAGCCTTAACCGTGTTGTGCACCCCTCTGTCTGCAGCTCAGCCTGCAGGACTGCCTGAGATACTGAAGAAGTCACTACACAGTTGCACAGTGAGAGGTGGAGAAGAAGTCTTTATCATTGGCAAGAACTTTTTGAAAGACACTAAAGTCGTATTCCAAGAAAACATCTCTGGTGAGAAAGCAGACTTTGTGACGCGTTTGGATATGTGAGGATAATCCAAATTTAGTGAGATTTAATTCCCAGTCACAACACTTTCTCCTTGTTCCAGACGAGCAGTCGTGGAAGGCAGAGGCTGAAATTGACATGGAGTTGTTTCACCAGGTGAAATGCCATTATTACTCTGCTGCTCAATGATTAATAGTGATTAGTATTGAAAAGACAGAACTACCTCTGTGTTGTGTGGGGTCAGATGTAATCATCTTAAATGGCTTCTTGTTCAAAGGTTTGAGTAGTTTCATTGTGTTCTGACCTAATTACATTCAGTCTCAGGGGGTTTGCCAAGTGAGTTTTATTAATCTGGATTAAACCTTTGCCCTCGTAAATAAAATGATCAGGAATAAGTAAACGGGTGAATCTGTTGTCAGGAAAGTTTCTTTTTTTAATGTTCCCTGTTAGTGCTCTGTATGTGATAGAAAAATGTTTATTCTGTTTTTTCCTTTGTTTAAACTTTAGGCTAATTTATGCTTATGATCACAACTTTCAAATAACTTTTGGTTACTAAATGCACATTATAAACTGCTCTTCAGCGCAATTTTATATTCTTATTTAATATTTTTTCTGTTTCTCTTATCAACTCACGGCTCCGATTTGCAGCTTTCCTTAAGATTTCTTAGTTTTTGTAAATTTATTGTGCTGTTTTGTTTGTGTTTTTGCTGATTTAATTTATTTTTATGTGTGATCCTCACCAAGAATCACCTGATAGTGAAAGTACCCCCATATCAGAAACAAGCTATCAGCGGTCCGGTGTGTGTGGGTGTCTATGTGGTGACAAATGCTGGGCGGTCCCATGATGTTCAGCCATTTACATACACTCCAGATGCAGGTTTGTTTGAGTCCGTGTTAGCACTTGGCTGATAATCAAAGCTGCTTTTAGATTTACTCACACTAACTCATGTATATTTAACCAAACTGAGAACATTTATTTTACACTTGCATACAGATGCTTTCTTTCTTTGTTCTTTGTTTTTTCAAACCTTTATTGAACACAGGTATAAGTGTGCAAGGACACAAATTGTATACAACATGTGGGTGCACTATAGAAATGTTACATTCTAATAAATTAGGTAGTGCAAGAATTAATTGTTTTTAAAGCCTTTTCGTTTAGCGATCCACTTATCAATTTTATGTAATAATGTCATTGTAATATTGTTTAAAATTAGGTTTTTGGTTACTTGGGGAGATAAAATGTAACATAGTAATTAACACATTTATAATAAAGTATATATCTTTTCTGTGCATGTGAAAAATACAAAATACAACATTCTCCCTTTTTAAAGTGAAGTGCTTGTAGAGGTGTCCAGTAATAAATCTGCAGAGGCTTTCTTATGTTGATGTTCGTTATTTGACACCACTGCCACCTACAGTTTACCTAAGTCATCGCAAACCTAAGCAGCCAAACCAAATATTTGCTTATTTTCTTGCTTTGCAGACACTCATGCAGTGAAAAAGGATGTTCCAGTGAAACAGGAGGTGCCCTCTCCAGTGAAGAATTGTACTTTTGATGACATTAAAGGTTATTGATTGTTTTAGTTCAGAAAATCCTTTTATTTTCTAATAATTTGATTTAATAAAGCTGTCAGAACAACATCTTTTGCTTTTGCTCCTGCAGTTGTAGACAGTGCCTTGATGCCTTCCATGTTGCCTTTAGTGAAGAGGGAAGAAATCACTCCAATGGAGGTGACAAGCAACCTTCAGTCCTCTGGAGTGTTTGAGGTAACTTATTGATCGGTGGACTTTAGCACCTTGTTATCATTGTGTTCATTTTAAATTTAAATCAGATTTAATTTGGAAATTAGATGAATGTTTAGTTTGCATTTATGTTGCCCTGAAGAGAAGCTTCTTTTTATTTTTGTTTTGATGGACTAAACTTTCTAAATGAAAACAACATGATGCATAAAGAAACACATTTTATTAAGGATGTTCCGATCACGTATTTATTTATTTTTTGCTCCCGATCCGATTGAAAGTAGTTTGATTTTGAGTATCTGCCGATACAGGGTCCCGAACTGATACTTTTCAGGAAAACATTAAAATGAGAAGAAAACGCATCCAAGTTGTCCTTTAAGTTTCACTTTCACTTTTTTGGGACGTACACTGATTTAAAAATGTGTTTATATTATGAATATATTTAAAAGTAGCAGCATTTCTCTTATTTTAATGTGTTTATTCCCTCAGTATGCCGCTGTATTTAGCGATTTGCATTCCTTTGACGGAGCAGGCATGCAGCGTCTCGGCTGGTAGGCTAACTTTTCCCTGCACAACACCTGTAGCTACCGCACAGCTCAGGTGCTGCAGGCAGGGGCGCAGATAGGATTTTCAAACTGGGGGGACAAAGTTCCAACGTACCCTCCCCCAAACATACACACACACGCACGCACATACACATACACAAGCTATTGCAAGAGCCTTAATTAGAGCTCAGTCAGTTTGTGTAATTTCATCCAAAGGTTTACAAAAAAACTAACACTATTATATACGTGTATGAAGCCATTGTGCAGTGGAACGCTGGCAACAAAGCTCTGCCTGATCAACACTACCCAAATATTTAAAAACAATATTCACTTATAGGGTTGGTCATCGTTTGATTTTGAACGATTCCGATTCCAATTCCTTGTTAAAATTCCGGTTCCTATCGATTCCCGATTCCGATTCTTTCTAGACATGACATGTTTTACATGAGCTAGCTAACCACAGGTCCTACTTGATGAATTAATCTTAACTTCAACATGAATTTTAATTCTATGAACAATAACATCACCTTCATTTAGACAAAAACATGTTTTGGAGAAAGAAAAAAAGAAAAGGACTTGCAGCACAACCAGTGTGTTTGTTTCTGACCACAACCAAAGTCTGGAAGAAGCCTCTGGGATGAGAGGCTAAATGTCTCCAACATATCCAGAAACGTGCAGCTGTTTCCAGCTAAAACTCTCAGGATGATCATGTCCAGGATGACTGAGAACTACACCTCCACGCTGCAGCAGCATTCAGTCAGAACAGAAAGTGAAACTTAAATGTAGCTGCTGTCAGTAACAATCTAACAGATTTTAAACATTAAAACTCTCAACAGAAATAGTTCAGAAAGGAAATAAAAATGTTCACAACTTTGTGTGTGATTTATTATTATTATTATTTATTGTGGCAGAAGCTGGTGTGGTCCACTACAGAGAAGCTGCTCTAGCATGATGACTTTAATTATTCTACAGGTTAGTGTTCAGCCATCTGATGCTCACACTCACACACACGAGTGTTGGTGAGCGGCTGCGTCTGACGATCCGTGTGTGTTTTTATTTCTGCAGTGAGACAAACTCACCTCACACCATCCAGAGTTTGTTCTTTAAAGCTTCTATTAAATCCACCATGTTGACGTCTTTTAACAAGTTTCCTCTACGTTGCAGGAGTTAAAGTTTACATTACGGAGTAAAAGTCCGGCAGACGCGTTTGTTTATATCCGGGTGGGGGGAGGGGGGACTCGTGCTGCACGCAGACAGCTGGTGTTATCAGCTCTGAAAAGCGTTGATCACAATTTGCAGATCACATTTATTTTTCACAGAGATTGGCCGCGGATTCCTCTTCCAGTCGGCATTCTAGGAATCGAAATAAAAAACTTTGAACGATTCCGGGAAAAACTAACAGTTGGAACCGGTTCCAATCGATGCTCGATGCCCAACCCTATAATTAGAGCAGTGATTCCCAAACTTTTCAACCTGACCAGCAGATGTTCCTTCGTATTGTTACGTTATTTAGAAAATTTCATTATATTTGGAAAGTTTTAATTTATATGTAAATATATAAAGCTCTTTTTAAATTTTATATTTTACTTTTTTCATGATTATGTGGCACACTTTGACTTCCATAAATATCGCATCGGCATCTGCCCCTTTTTTTTTTACATTGTCGCTACGTCTATCACATTTGCTGTGTTTTTACCATCATTTCTACATCCATCACATCCCAAAGAAGGTTAAACAAACATCAAACCCAACGTTTGGAGCTTGTTCACACACCTCTCGTGTAGCACCAGCTGTCTGATGCTGCAGCAGCGTCAATCTTCCCGGCTGGATGAGTGAATTTCTTCATCAGAGTCAATATTCTTCTTTATAATCAGAGTCAGTCATTTCCAGACAAAGTGATCAGTCAACAAAGACCAGACCTGCTGGCAGTTATACATTTTATCTAATATTTGCGCTCTTCATGCTGCGTGCGTCTCCTCCTCTCCCTGACTGGGAGCCTCTTGGCGGGAGGCGTTTTTCTAACTCTAAAAACTCCAAAACTTTGCTCAGCCTGAAGGTTCCACATCTCCACTATCTTCTGATGTAAAGTGGTAACTTCATGAGGGATCATATTTGTAGATGAGACTTTTTAAAGTCAGCAATGAGGCTTTGGCGCTTATAACGAGTAAGTCCCAACACTGACAACAACAATGTACTGAAATTGTAACCAACATGCATAAACAGACAGATCGGTCCCGCCTACTTACACTGTTGGTCTACTCAGCAATTGTTGCTTGCCTTTTTCGCTTCATCCTGCGTCCTAGCAGCAACCACTTTGGCGCCTCTGGAGTTGGTGTTTGTTTACGTCGTGCTGCATTCAATGTAATTGGAAAAGGGAGCTTCAAGCGCTTAACCTTCGATTTTGTTTTCTTTCTGACCTTAGTGCGGGGGACGGATCAGGGTCGATCTGAATCTGGGGGGTACAGACCCCTTCCCCCCTCCCCCCGGTCCCCCAACCTAACTGCGCGCCTGGCTGCAGGAGGTGTAACCTGACGTTTTGCAGTCTGTTGGCAATTCCTGTTTGTTTATTAGCGTATCTTTCTCTGTCGGCTGGCTTCGCATTTTTGTCTGAGTTTGCTGTGAACCGGTACTGTTGGTGGCAAACTGGGAGTTAATGGAGTCTGGTGATTTGCTTTGTTGACACCCAAAGGGAAAAGCCGAATATGAAAGTAGTCTGTTTTGAAAGCAGCAAATAATGGAGCTGCGTCTTTCCCAGCATGTTTAATGCCTGGTATACACACATTACAAGAGGCTGTTGCTCTGCCTTTGGTATCCAGTTTTAAATACTACTAAGCTGAAGACACTAGCTCTCCTGGGGAGACACCATCGACGTACATACAGGAGACACGTTAGCTCTGCGTTAGCCTGTCTGCTAACAGCTGCACCTTGGTGTCTGAATCCCTGCCTGCTGTGAATTGTGTGACGTTACTGAGTTTTTGTACAAGAAACAAATAATATTGATGTAGAGTAACCCTAATCCATTGTTATTTTGTTTGAAAATCTCTATCTCAGGATAACTGTAAAATGCGATGTTTGCTGTTTTAAAAGGTCAAATCCAATCTTTTCCTCCCGATCCTTTTAAAATCATGTGATCTGGCCTGATTTCCAGTCGTGATCAAATCGGAGCATCCCTACATTTTATGTCTTCTGTTCTCTTGTGTTTCCAGCAGAATGGTGGCCTCTGTTCAGCCCAGGAAAACTCTGATTTAACATCAGCAAATTTAAATGAAGACCTAGTGTTCAACAATATCCTGTCCCAGCCTGCAGGTGATGCTGATGAAGCCCAGGTTCCCACCTTTGCCAACGCTGAGCCTTTAACCACCATCCAGAAGCAGGACATTGCTGTTAGCAGCTCTTACTCCTTGCCTTCAGAGTCACTGCTCCCCCAGGGCCCACAGCAGTTCCTTCTAGAGCCCAGAGAAGGTCTCATGCGGGAGAGGTCAGGTAGCAACTCAGCACGGCTGTGTGCAGAACCTGCCCCCCAAGAGCAGCAGATGCCGCTGTTCCCTCCAGATGAAGTAGCTCAGCTGGAGGAGGCTGTGAGACAACTTAAAGCTAAAGGACTCTGTGGCCTAACGCTGCAGTCTGACAACTCTATAACCAAGCAGCAGCAGCAACAGCACATCCAGCACCAACAGCAGATCCAAAATCAGCAAATTCAGCAACATTCAGTTTTAGAGAATTTGCAGCTTTTCCAGTCTCAGATCCAGATGCAGTGTGGCATGTTTCAGGATGCATCCCAGGCTAAAAGCTCAGAGCATCAAAGTTCACCTCAAGGAGTGGTGACAAACCAGGCATCACTTTTTCCATCAGAGCAGCCATCACCACAAAATCAGCAACAGCAACAAGCAGCTCTTTTCCAGCAGGCAAACGATCTTTGTTCTATGCAGACTGGATTCCTGCAGCAGACCCCCACGCCAGCTCCCATGTTCCACAATCCCAGCCCTTTGTCTGAGACACAAAATCCACAGGGGGCTCTGTTCCAGAAAGCGACCCAAGAACAGGTCCAGGCTGCTATTTTCCAAAACACCATGACTGTACTACAGTCTCCAGAGCAACAACCCTCAAACCCAGGACTTTATCTGCCCCCAGCTTCTCTTCCAACTCAACTTTCAGGTGGTAATTCTCAACAGCAGCAGCAGCAACAGCTGGCCTTTCTAAATGCTCTGCAGTCTTCTTCCCCTGAGCCACAATCGGTGTTTCAGACTGATTGTGGTGCTGCAAATGTTAGCAATCTACAAATGGGGGCCCAGATGTCCCCCATCCAACAAGGAAGCCCCATGGAACAGCAACAGCCCCTCCAGCCTCCACCACAACCAGCCCAGCAGACATCCCTTTTCCAGACCATGTCCCCACATTCATCTCCAAACACGCTCCCTCCAGGCCAACAGCAGCAACCTGGACTAATGTTTTGCACCAATAGTTTGTCCACACCACCCCAGGCCTCCAACCTCCTGTTCCCCAGTCAAGGCCAAATGCCTCCTATGACGAGCAGCAGTTTAGTTTCACAGGAGTCTCAGAACCCCTCCCTACTCTTCTCCCAAGCCAGCATGGTCACAGTAGACCAGCAGAACCGCCCTGAGCCCATGGCCTTAGGGAACCCTGCTGATCCACAGCAGCAGGTCATGTTTCAGGAGCAACAGCCAATGATGTTGGTTAGCGGCGCTAACAATGGACAAGAAGAGTCTGTTGGCCTCTTCATACCTCAGTCCAATATGGCCTCTCTGCAGGGGGAACTGGCCGCTCAGGAGCTTGCACAGTCAGCCATGTTTGCCTCACAGAATAGTGTAGCCAACCTCCAGACAACCACCACCTCCCCTGTCCAACAACCAGGAAGTCTGTTTCAGCACACTGTTAATGGAAACATCAGTCAGCCCAGCCAGCCTCGGCAGCCAGGCCTCTTCCTTTTTGGGATTCAGAATGGTGAGGAATGGATTACTAGGGTATTTAAATATAAAACAAGTAGATTGTGAATATTTTTATGAGGAATTTCTTGTTCTCAGTTTATGTGTGTGTGTGTGTGTGTGTGTGTGTGTGTGTGTGTGTGTGTGCGTGCGTGCGTGCACACCGTAAATCCTCGAA